AAAGAAAGAAAGAAAGAAAGAAAGAAAGAAAGAAAGAAAGAAAGAAATGTAGAGAGAGGCCAGGGAACATGAAGCCAGGTTTTATCAATTCCATAATGCCCCAGGGTTTCCCTTACCTCCTCTCCTCCTCCCTGTATTTCCTTTAGTCTCTGAGCTCCTTCCAAACTTCAAAATAAAAGTTCCATCCCAAGTCTCCCAGAACAACTCTTGTCAAGTTGAACAATCCACCCACAAAATTGCAGGCCATCTTGCTTTCCCAGCCAGCCCCACCCACTCTCCTTTGTCCTGGAGATCATTGGGTTCACTCCTTTGTCTCTAGAAAGGTACTGCCCTCACTCTGGACCTTTCCTATCAAAACATTTTTCCAAGGCAGTAAGTTCCACTGGTCCCCGTGATTGGATGTTAACACTTGATCAGGAAGTTGGCTCTGTGACTCCTCCCAAATAGCCTCAAAGATAGTTTGGATACCAGTTGCCTTGCTAAAAGTTTGATAAAGACTTGAGAGGAAGGCTCCTGAGGCTGTTAAATAATTATTTTTAAGCTGTCAAAGTTTCAGAGAAGTGGACTTTAAATGCAGCATCTACAGAGATTATTGCAATCCATTTGTATCCAAGCACAGCTCCTTCCTGATCCCAAAGTATATAGATTCTCTCATCCTCCTTAAAATTTCCAGAAAATGAAAACTCTGGAGCCAATCAAACCAGTGGCTCCCAAACAAACAAGAATAAAATATTCTGGATAGCTGAGTTTCCCCAGAGTTTCTGGATTTCTAACTCAGCACCTCTGCAACTTGGGTAGGAGGCAGTCATAAACACAAGAGTAGAGGCTTTGAGTGTAGGGCAAGAGTTTTAAGTATTAGGAAGTGTTGTGTACACTTCAAGACTTCTCTTGAAGTCTGTGTCCAATAATGGTCTTTCATTTATTCAAATATATTGGCCCCATTTATTCATAAAGCAAAGAGAAACACAAACATTTCTCCACTCAAGTTGCTTAAGTTCCTGCAGTAGAAAGCAAACAATAAAAAAAGTAATATGAATAGGTATTGTGTTGGTATTGCAATCAGTACTGCAGAGAAAAAGGAAGCAAGAAAGGGTTAGGATGTGCTCAGTAGGTGTTTTGATTTTAAAATGGGTGCTCTTGGGGCGCCTGGGTGGCTTGGTCGGTTAAGCGTCCGACTTCGGCTCAGGTCATGATCTCACCATCCGTGAGTTCGAGCCCTGCGTGGGGCTCTGTGCT